GAGGGAAAGAAAGAAAGAAAGAAAGAGAGAGAGAGAGAGAGAGAGACAGAGAAAGAAAGAAAGAAAGAAAGAAAGAAAGAAAGAAAGAAAGAAAGAAAGAAAGAAAGAAAGAAAGAAAGAGCGGAGGGAGGGAGGGAAGGAGAAAGGAAGGAAGGGTGTGAGGGAAAGAAAGAAAAGAAAGAGAAAGAAAAAGAGGGAGGAAGGAAGCATTATAAATATAGCTTATAAATTATAGATAGATGGTAGAGAGCTGATGGATAGCTGATACATACAAAAGGAAGGAAGGGAGAGAGAGAGAGAAAGAAGAGAGTGAGGGAGAGAAAGAAAGAAGGAAGGAAGGAAGGAAGGAAGGAAGGAAGGAAGGAAGGAAGGAAGGAAGGAAGGAAGGGAACCCACACATCTTCAAGATTGCCCTAGAGATGTAAAATTGTAGTTAATTCCACCAAAAGAGTGTGATTTCCTCTCAACAAGTAGTCCTTGACTTACGACCATTCATTTAGGGACTGTTTAGGTTACAACGGCATTGAAAAAAAGGAGTTTGGGCCATTTTTCACACTTACGACCGCTGCAGCATCCCCACAGTCATGTGATCAAAATTCAGACAACACCTCTCAAGCAACACGCATTTACGATGGTCGCAGCCTCCCGGGAGGGGTCACGTGATCCTGCTTGGCAACCTTCTGACCAGTAAAGTCAATGGAGGAAGCCAGATTCACTTAACAACCGCGTTACTCGCTTTACAACTGCAGTGATTCACTTAACAACTGTGGCAAGGAAGGTCGTAAAATGGGACCAAACTCACTTAACAACTACCTGGCTCAGCAATGGAAATGTTGGGCTCAATTGTGGTCGTAAGTCGAGGACTACCCATATTTCCTCTTTACAGGTAGTCCTCAACTTACGACTATTCATTTAGGGACCATCCAAAGTTACAACAGCATTGAAAAAAAGTTGACTTATGACCATTAGGTTTTTCACACTTAACGACCGTTGCAGTCTTCCCCTTTGTCAGGTGATCAAAATTTGGGTGCTTGGCAACTGACTCACAGTTACGACGGTCGCATGATCCCCTTTTTGATGGAATTAGTCATTTACTGGACATTCATTGCCTCGACAACCTTTGCACACCACATGGGAAGAGTAACATGTAGTTGTTCCACCATACAGGGAGTCCTTGACTTGCGACCACAATTGAGCCCAGAATTTATGTCGCTAAGTGAGACAATTAACTGAATTTTGCCCCATTTTACGACCATTTCTTGCTACAGCTGTTAAGTGAATCCTCGCGGTTATTAGGTTGTAAAGTGAATCTGGGCTCCCCCATCGACTTCGCTCGTCAGAAGGTCACGTGACCCTGTCATAAATACGAGTCAGTTGCCAAGCGTCTCAATTTGGATCACGTGACCACGGGGGAGGCTGCAACGGTCGTAAGTGTGAAAAATGGTTATAAGTCACTTTTTTGGTGTCGTAACTTTGAACGGTCGTTAAATGAGCTGTCATAAGCCGGGGACTACCTGCAAGCAAGGCCATCAACCACTTACTCTGGCTTCTGCTGCTTTGGCCAACAGGAAGAAATTGTCTTCTGGAGTCACAATCTGTAAAGTAGAGCTGCAAAAAAAATTACAAATGGTTGAGGTTCTGCATTAAAAGTAATTTTATCTTTTTAACTGTGTAAACCAGACGTCCCCAACCTATGGTCCATGGCTCAGTTCCAGGCCGTGGCCTCTTGGCCACCGGGCCCCAGGAACAGCTGGCGAGGCCTGCCCCACTCAAGGTAGCCTTGCTGCGTGGGCGCTAGCAGTCCCATTTGCACATGTGTGGGGATGCTAGCACTGCCGCCAGCATCTTGTGGGCGCCAGTGGCCCATTTGCACATGCGTGTGGGCGCCAGCGTGCGTGGGTGATTTTGGGCCAATCACCAGGAGACGGTGAGTTCTAGATGGTTCCGTCCCAGGCGACTGATGGACCCTGAGAGGTTCCTGACGGAGCTTGGGCCATATCCGGAGGATCTGGTCCACGACTCGGCGGAAGATCAGGCGGCGGCTTGGGAAACAACTGCCGCCGCAGCATTGGACCGAGTCGTGCCTTTGCGGCCTCTGACCCGACGTAGGTCTCGATTGGCTCCCTGGTTT